GCTGGGAGGGGCCTTAGAACAGGGGATGTCAGGACTGGGATGGGGCTTAGAACAGCAAATGTGTATGTAAGCCTCTAGGCCTCAGTTTCCTCTTCTGTAAAATGAGGATGTTAGACTAGATGTTTTCTAAGGTTCTTGAAGGTCTCAATCCAATGATCTTGATGTTCCAGCTTGGTCTTAATTTAGAACATAGATCATTAAATCTGTAGGGGGCCTTAGAGATTATCTAGTCCAATCCCTTCATTTTACAGATGGGGTCACGGAGTCCCAGCAATTGAGTACTGCTCAAGGTCCCAGGGCTAGTCATTGATGGGGGACCTAGTACTCAAGGCCAGTTTTTCTGACTGTAGATTCTTGGCATCGGTATCCTGTACCCTCAGGCTTTCTTTTCTTCCTACCTCTCCCCACTGCCCTCCTAGTCTTAGCCCCTGACCTCATGGGTCACTGGGCAAATGTCCAATGGTTCCATGGGAGAGATCTGCCCTGTCCTGCCCTTGGATTGTACATTCTTAATGGCCTCTTGTAGCAACAGTCCTTGCATGAACCGATAAAACATCTGTGAAGAACCAAGCCTGTCCACTATGGGGTCCCAGGGCACAGACCACAGAAGTCATCACAAGGGGCCTGGATGAACCACATTCTGGTATCCAGAGGAGGGGAGGGGGTTACATCTGATCATTTTGAAAAAAAAAACCGATTAATTATTATTTTGTCAAGATCAAATATGTGGGGGAAGGTGAATCTGAACCAACTAACTATCTAGTCCTTAATGGGAAACCCTCAAGAATAGGCACCCCAGGTCCAAAGACAGGGAGGAGTCAATCTGGACACATACCTATTTGGGACCTTTCTGTAAGCTCTGAGATTCTATGGAATCATTTCCCAAAACCTAGTTTGAAACCTACCTTCCCTTTGGCTTTTCATAAAACACAGTGCGTAAAGGATTATGAGATTAAAAGCTAGAAGAGACTTTGTTGAATCATCTAGTCTAAATACTCCCCCTCCCCCTTATTTTACAAGTGGGGAAACTAAGGCCCAGAGAAGTTAAGTGACTTGCCCAAAGTCACACAGGTAGTCAATGTCAAAGCCAGGATTCAAACCCATGTCCTTTGTTTCTTTCTCTTTTTTTTTTTTGGTGAGGCAATTGGGGTTAAGTGACTTGCCCAGGGTCACACAGCTGGTGTCAAGTATCTGGTCTGAGACCGGATTTGAACTCAGATCCTCCTGACTCCAGGGCGGGTGCTCTATCCACTCCACCACCTAGCTGCCCCACCACATCCTTTGTTTCTCACTCCACTGTTCAATACCACAAGTCACTCTGCTTTTTGATTTATTCCCCAAAAGTTGAGTTTTACAATCAACCTGCTTCTCTTTGAAATCTTTCTGATGCTATTGCCTTTTATGAATAATATGAACTAAGAGGGAATCTTCCTTTCCTCAAACAAAGCTCTGTTCCATTGTGAAACACTGTTTTTAAATTTTTAATCTATATTTACTTCAAAGTTAAGGCTGAGATGACAGGCCGGATCCCAGAAGATCTTGTCCTGCTGTAACACTGGGCTGAATCTAAGAAGATGAAATTCAACAAGGATCAATTTAAGTCTTAAACCTGGGTTTAAACTTGAACTTTTAAACTTGGGTTCAAAAAAATCAGCTCATCCAGGGAACCTTGGTTAAGCAGCAGTTTGTCTGAAAAAGATCTAGGGGTATTAGAGGACCACAAGTTCACTATGCGTTAGCAAAGTAATATGGCAGTCCTCAAAAAGTTATTGTGATTCTGGCTGGCATTGAGAGAGGCATCACTGACAGAAACAAGAGGGTGACAAGTCTGCTGTCCTGAGCTCTCCTCAGACCACAGCTGGGAAATTGTATTTAGTTCTGGGCATCACAGTTTAAGAAGGGTCTTTATAAGTCAGAGAGTGTCTAGAGGAGGACAATCAGGAAGGAAGAAGGGACAAAAGGAAGGGGAGAAGGAAGGAAAGGGAAGGAAGGAAGGAGAAAAGGAAGGTAAGAAGAGAGTAAAGGAAAGGGAGGGGGAAAGTAATGGGAGAAGAAAGGAAGAGATGGAGGAAAAGGGGAAAGAAGGAAAAGGAGGGAAGGAAGGAGTGAGGGAAGAAGGAAGGAAGAAGGGAGGAAAAGATGGGGAGAGGGAAGGAAGGGAAAAAGGAAGGAGGGACGGAAAGGAGGAAGGAGAGAGAGAAAAGAAGGAAGGAAGAAGAGAAGGAAGGATTTATTAAGGATCTACTATGTGCCGGGCACTATGCTAAGTGCTTTACAAATATTATCTTATTTTGTAGTGAAGGGTGCTGAGTGCATAGCATGAAGTCAGTTGAAGGATCTGGGAATGTTTAGCCTAAAGAAAAGACTGGGGAGGAGGGAGGTATGATAGTTGTCTTCACCTATCTGAAAAGCTGTTAAATAGAAGGGAGATCAGACTTGTTCTGCTTGGCCCAGAGGGCAGAACCAGGAGCAATGAGTACTTGACATCAGAAAAAAGTCGCTAGCATTCAGAGCTGTCCAAGGGAGAAAGGGGCCACTATTAGAGCTGGTGGGTTCCCTCCAGGATTGTGGTGGGAAATATTTAACAGTTGACTGGGGGAGTGGGGTGAGGTGGAGTGCGGTGAGGGGGTGGTAAGAGATGAATGCCATACATATATCATACACATATTTAAGATTAATTTGTATTCTTTAACATTTTCTCCAACACTTTCTTGAGATAATCAATGAAGCAATAAATCAAACCCTGATTTGCAGCATTTGACAAGACGATTTCCAAGATGTAAATGCTCACACCAAAAGCTCTCTCAAGTATGTGCCAGCTGGCTCCCGCAAGCTCTTGTCTGGTTCTGTCTTAATAGAGGTCTTCAAGTAGAGGATGGATGGCCCCTTGTCAAGAATATTGTTATGGGGATTCCTTTTGGGTAAGGGTTTCACTTGAATGGCCACTGAGGACTCTTCCAACTCTTAAATTCTGGGATTCTGGGATTTCTTACTAGTTAGTCATCCATTTGCCTTGCCTTGGAAGATAGCCACGTTTTTAAAAAGACTTTGATAAACTAGAGAGTGCCTAGAGGAGGACAGCCAGGATGATCAGGGGACTGGAGATCATGCTGTGCGTTGAAGGAACTGGGGATGTTTAGTCTAGAGAAGTAGAAAATTATTAGGGGTTGGGGGGAGTGACATGGTGGCTGTCTTCAAGTACCTGAAGGACTGTTGCATTGAAGAAGGATTGGTCTTCTCTGACTTGGTCTCAGGATAGAACCAGGAAAAACAAATGGAAATTGACAAGAGAAAAATGGAGTCTTGGATAAGGAAACAATTGCTATCAATTGGAGCTGTCCAAAAGTGAAATGGGCTGACTTGGCTGGTAGTGGGTTATCTTTCATTGGAGGCCTTCAAGCACAGTCTGGATAAATATTTATAGGGACTCTCTAGAGGGAAATATTGTTTTAAGTATGGGTTGGATGGATGGTTGCTTAAGTTATTCAGATGCCAAACTGAGATTTCATGATTCAGATAGTTACAACTGGCATTTATCTAAGGCTTTTATGATTACAAAGTTGTTTAACCTTGTTTGCCTCAGTTTCCTCATCTGTAAAATGAACTGGAGGAGGAAATGGCAAACCACCCCAGTATCTTTGCCAAGAGAACCCCAAATAGGGTCACAAAGAATTGAGCATGACTGAATTGACTGAACAACAACAATTATAAATATTACCTCATTTGATCCTCACAGTAACTCTGGGAGAGAGGTACTATTATTACCTCCAGACTTCAATGACACTGGAGAAGAGAGTGAAACTGACAACTTTACACAGCTGTGCCTCACTCAAATCCAATTCATGCACAGGTCAAGACATCACACTTGTGCCGTCATCGGTCCTCTTCCAGAATGAAGGACAAACAACAACAGACAAGGAAACTGAGGCAGGCAGTGACTTGTCCAGGATTACACAGCTAGGAAGTGTCCAAGGCTGGATTTGAACTCAGGTCTTCCTGACTCCAGGTCCAGCACTTTATCCGCTGTGTCACCTTTGGCATCTAGGGCCAATATTGGTTAACACCATTTATACTTTTTTCAGCTTAAAACCATGTGCAATAATGAAAAAGATGACAGTGGAGTCAGATGAGCCAGTCTTTGCCACTTACTACCTGCATAACTTTGGGCAAATCCCTCTCCCTCTTCCATCCTATTTCCTTCACTGCAAAATAAGGAGGTAAGAATAGATGAGGTCTTTTTATCCTCCTGATTTTGAAAGAAGCGTTCCCTTGTCCTCGCCATAATCCCTGCCCCTGCCCCTACTACAAAAACCTTATCACCCACCATAGGTAACATTGCCATGAAATACTGGTTTCCATGTAGTGAAAGCCTTTGAGCTGACCCATGCATCTGAGTATTGTTATTGCCAGCTGGTATTCTAAAGGGAAAACCTACATGCCTCACATTACCTAGGAAAGCTCAGTCATCCGATCATAATTAGAAATGTTGTCAAGCCTCAGCCCAAGCTGATGGGCATCCCTAAAGGTGGGGGTGGGGAGAGAGAGAGACAGAGAGAGACAAAGAGAGAGAGGGAGGGAGGGAGAGAGAGAGAGGGAGGGAGGGAGGGAGGGAGGGAGGGGG